ACACGGACTCCATCTATGAGGATCTTTCGGACAGCAATCCCAGCCCACCAGGCCTGGCGAGCCCCTACTATGATGCTGACCTGAAGACGGTTTCCTTGGGCGCCTTGCCATCGCTTGGTTCGTTGGAACACGCGGCTGGAACCTGCAAACGTTGCAACTTCTATCCAAAAGGGCGCTGCCAGAACGGTCTCTTGCATGTGCTTTCAGTCAATATGTGTTTCTTTCACTTCAACTTTAAACAAGCAGCAAACAGAAGGATCGGACACTTTGAAACAGAAGATTGGTTGCATTGGGACGCAGGACTGAGCTGCAGCTTTTGCCATCTCTCCCATGAGCGCCGCAAGTCGAGCCGTGCAGAGAAGCGGGAGCGAGCTGAGAACATGCCTCAGACCCCGTCCACCGGAACAACAGATGTGGAGGACTTGGAGGCGAACGGTGCTTTGCCTTTCGGACTTCCAGTTCCCGACTTGAGCTCGCTGGGTCTCCCCTTCGGGATGCCGGCTCCAGTGGTGCCTCCACCTGGCCTCACGCCCAGCCTTTTGTCCACACAACCCTTGCCTCCAGTTTGGAGGGATGACGACTTGGAGAATGCATGTCGCTCGGTTACTTATGGTGTGTGGTTGAGGATTCTTGATGGCAATGACAGCAATGACAGTCCGCTTGTACACAAGTAAAGCACGGGGCATATCATTGATCATTGCTTTAGGACCCTATTCAACAAAACAGTCTTTGTAGTTGCTTGCATCCACTGTCCCTTGCACACAAATCTGGCCTAGTCGCTATATTTCCCTTGAGGGATGTGGAGTGCACGTGTTGAAGACTTTCCCCCTAGTAGCGTCCTTGTTACTACTAGTAAGGCACTTGTTACTAGTAGCGATGCACTTGTTCCTAGTAGCGTCCTTGTTAAGGCCATCCATTCCCCAATCCTTTGTCGTTGGCCTCCGCTGCGTGCCTGGCGACCGTCCCGATGACCGCCAATGCTCCTCAGAGACAATGGGTGGGGGTTCAGTTCAGTGAAGCAAACGACATCCAGTGGGAGGAACGATGAGAAACGTCTAAAACTTGGAAGCGTTTGGAGAGAATTTGATAGAGTTTGCCATGTTCAAATGAGTTATCTTGTTGAACCCCCGAAAGAATTTGCCATGTTGGAAAGAATTGGCCATGAAGTGCCGGCCGTGGTCCCGCATCGTTTGTCTTTAGGTGCCCCCCTCAAGCCCGATGACTGTACTCTTGCAAAGCCACTTGGAGGCCCGATACGACTGGGTGCGAAGGAAAGAGATTTGATTGGGCCCGACTGGGTGCCGAACGTGTAGACTGTGGCTGTTGTGGAACACTTGCATTGGCTGTTCCACTGGCTTCACCTAAAGTTCAAACCACAACTTGTGAACCTACACGGGAACCGTGGATCACCGTGGGTACTTCGGCCTGGATGCAGGAAGCTGAGCGGAAGGTCATGGTAACCATGGCGACACAGACAGGTGCGGCAGCCTGACAGGTGCAGACGCCCACGTTGCTGTTGGCGTATAAAAGATCATACTATAAAACGCATCCCAGAGGCTGGCAATTTGCATCACATATTTTGCAGTCCTGGCACACCAGTTGGTTCAGAAGCACAGATTTCCAGGTTTGCAATGCAATGTCAATATTTGTGAACAGTGGCGTGTCCCTGCTCCTGCTTGTTTACTGTGCTGCTTGTTTGCTGCTGCTGCTGCTGCTGCTTGTTTGCTGCTGCTGCTGCTCGCTTGCTGCTTGCTTGCTTGCTTGCTTGCTTGCTTGCTTGCTTGCTTGCTTGC